TCCTTGCAAACATCCTCCACGACCCACATCAGTGTAGGTTTAAGCAACAGATTTCCTCCCCAGTAAAGATGTGGCCTGGCACCAGGCGCGGTGGCTCACACCTGTAATCCCAGCACTTAGGGGGGCCGAGGTGGGCAGATCATGAGGTCAGGAGATAAAGACCAGCTTGGCCAACATGGTGAAACCCCATCTCTACTAAAAATACAAAAATTAGCTGGGTGTGGTGGTGCATGCCTGTAGTCCCAGCTACTCGGGAGACTGAGGCACGAGAATCGCTTGAACCCAGGAAGTGGAGGTTGCAGTGAGCTGAGATCGTGCCACTGCACTCTCGCATGGAGACAGAGCGAGACTATGTCTCAGATAGATAGATAGATAGATAAATAAATAAATAAATAAAAATAAGATGTGGCCAGGCTCATGGAAAAGGGCAGCCTAAGGATTAGGCTACGTCCTTCCTAAACCACTCAAAGTCTTAAATTTTCATTTTTTGTTAAAGCAAATTATTACTTGAAGAGTACATTCTACATTTTAGAGCAGAATCCTTCAAAAACAAAAGATAAATCAAAAACCCCCAAGATATTGAAAAAGCACACACTTTACAAGAAATTAAATTGTCCTGCTCAGGTTAGAATGACAAGATGGCTGCTTGCTTATTTTTAAAATATCAAAAGCAAGACTGGCCAAAAAGAAAAAAAAAAAATACGAGGGAAAGTTTTGGTTTCCATTACCTATATTTGTGTAAAAGCTATGTGTTGTTTTAACTAAACATCTGGTCTTTGTCTCTCATGTACAGAATTCTGAGTTTTCTTGACACTTTGGCAAGAGGTACCACAACCCCCTGCCAGGCCAGTAAAAATCACACATTTTTCCTGCAAGAGAAAAAAAAGTCAATAAAAATGAAACATTAAAAAAAGTAAAAGCTTGAATTGGAAAACTGTGCTGTAGAGAGCCTCCTTCCTAATCAGCTTTACACGATTGCTTTAAAAAAATCTTTAAAAATACTACCATTCTCTATTGTTTGAAAGATCTAATAGAGATACTGAATGTTTGCTCAATATATTGCTCTAAAATACGTCCTTTAGATATAGGGACCTTGCCATTGATTCAATTTTCCAGAGTAAGTCATGTGAATTAATTTTTATAAATATTTAATGTTTATTCTTGTACAAACTGATCCTTTAAGTTACTTCAACTCGAGATGAATTTCAACTGCTTTTACTAGATGGCAGAATAATCTCTGTCTTACATTCACATCAGCACCTTCTAAAACCCTGGCATTATCATCTGTCATAGTAAAAAGCAGAGAAGTAAATACAATCCTGCTCTCCAAATATGACGAGCTCATTATAACAAGCCATTCATAAATCCTGAAACAAAAAGTACTACCATATATTTTTTAATAAGAATTTTTTACAATTTGCATAGGATGTTTTTATTTGGAACAAAGGCAGGTATTTCTTTCTCCTTGCCACACATAATGCTGAAATGAATTATGTGGTAATACTACCATCCGCCTCGCCTCTAAAGAAGGCCTGAATTAGTTCACAAATGGTTGCAAAATACTTTGCAAACATGAAATGCAAAATAAGACTCTAATGCCTATAAATACTTCCTTATAACAACTAGGTTATACTGAGATGGAAAAGAAGAAATAAACATTATAAAAAGGCGAGTGCCCTGGAAGTATGCTGCTGGGTTGAGGAGAAGGGCTCCGTAATGGGGCTCCTCCAGATATTAAATTAACCACCTTTTGGTAGCCCTCACTATGACCTCAAGAAGCATGGAACTATGCATAGAGTGAGCTGCCCCTTCTACGTAAAGATTTAAGTAGAAACTCGCAGCCCATGGCACAAAACCTCTTATTCTAAATATTTACTAGAAGTGCAAATAGACAAGAACCTTACAAAGTCAAAAACCCAAACTTAAGTCAGCTCCTTATCTGACTGGTGAAATTGAATTCCCATTCTACCTGCCTGCCCGAAGTTAGGATGGGGCTAGTGGGCATAGAGAGATGATAAGCAAGCAGAGAACCCTTTTCTGTTCTAAAGTTGGCCTGGTGGAAGACCCTGAAGCATCACCAGGAAGCACTCCCTGGGACTGCGCAGTCTCTGTTCCTACCTGTCCTGGTGTTTGGGCACAACTGACGGCCATCAACACAGTAAGATCCATTAGAACATATTGAACTTATGGATCTGCATATTCAGCTGGAAACAGAAAAACCAAAACTCACATTCAACCTACTTATACTTAATTGTATGGAGCTCAGTCTGGGAAAGTCTTCAATGTGAAATCCCAAAAAGATAAAGTTAAGACATTATGATTTCACAACAAGCCACAAACCTAGGCCAACACTGGGGAAAAATAATTAAACAACTTCAGTTGCAACTCCTATTTCACATAATAGTAAAAAATTATTAATTAACTTAGAAATAAAATTTCCTGGGCATCTGTGCAATAGACAATGAAAATACTCCTATGTTCTACACAAGTAAGCTCCTTCCCTCACAAAGTTTGCGGAGCCATGGACGGTTCAGGACAAGTCAGAGTGATAAGAGCAATGATTAGCAAAGAAAAACCAGTTATCTCTTAGAGATGGAAGTCAAGAGAGACTTTTCACAACATATCATACCTCAGCTGAGGCCCACACAGTGAATAGATATGAGAAGGAGAGAGGCCAGTGGACGAACGTTAGATGCACCGGAAAATCATGGGCAGAGGCCTGGAGGTGAGAGAAAGCTCATCTATTTGGAGGAACAGAAAGAAGTTCATCATCAAGCAAGAACCTATGGGGAGTGGCAAGAGTCACTTGCGGGCAAATAAACAGAGATAAACAGAGTACAGATCACGAAGGGTAGGCAACCTGAGTGATTCTGAGGGAAATGGGAAACAACTGAAAGACATTAAGAAGGAAAGTCATAAATGTACTTTGGGATGCCAAAGAGGGTGGATCACGAGGTCAGGAGATCGAGACCATCCTGGCTAACATGGTGAAACCCCATCTCTACTAAAAATACAAAAAATTAGCCAGATGTGGTGACATGTGCCTGTAGTCCCAGCTACTCGTGAGGCTGAGGCAGGAGAATCCCTTGAACCCAGGAGGTGGAGGTTACAGTGAGCCGAGATCACATTACTGTACTCCAACCCGGGCAACAGAGCAAGCCTCCATCTCAAAAAAAAAAACATTTGTCTGATTGCACCATGGAGAAAGAATTGGAAAAGATCAAGAAAAGGATCTAGGCAAGAGAAATATGACAAACTGAGTTATGGCCATGGGAGTGGAAAGAAATGAGCAGATTTAAGAGCCATTTAGAAGTTGGAAGAGAACAGACTTTATCAGGCAGACTAGCATAGTCATTAAGTTCAGACTGCTTGTGTTCATACCCTGGTTCTGACACTTACGGGGAAAGTTGTTTAATCCCTCTGCACCTCAGTCTCCCTTTCTGAAGAGCAGGCACAATAGTAGTAGCTTTTCATGGGATTATTATGAAAGATGAGTGAGTTAATTCACAAAATGCTTAGAAGAATTTGTGGAACGTGATAAATGCTTTTAAAAATTGGCTTTTATTATTATTGAGTGTAACAGTCCAAAACTAGAAACACAATTATCATCAACTGTAGAATAAGATGTGGGAGGAAAAAGGAGGAAATAGGGATCTCACAAGGGAATTTAGCCTGGATAAATGAATGGATGATAGTAACCTTGCCAGTTATAGACCTATTGCTGCTCAGCTCCACATCTACCCTTCAATGTGTGCTTCGAGATAAGGGAGAGGGACCCAGTAAGCATTTCTCCTTTGCAACAGGTATAATTTTAAGTTCTGTCCGTAGAAGGTACTGAAGAGTTACTAAAGCAAAGAGGTACTTTTCCTGATCTAATCATGCATCCACTTGCTTGCTTCTCTGTGTGCAGTGGCCAGTAGAGCATGTGGGGTCATCCAATGGTGCTCACCCCCATTAGGTTTCAGTGAGAGATTCCTAGGAGTCTCACAGATATTCTAGAAGTTGCCTGGCCTACCTACATTCCAAAAAGTCTCCTGCTTGAGACTACAGATAAGTTCTGGCCTGCAACACAGCAAACCTCCCTGCCATCACACTTTCTCCAATATGATCTAAATTCCAACCAGCTTGTTCTTTCCTTGGATATTGTCTCTCAACTGTAGTGTATTCTTTGCCCCTTTATAGTTAATTTCCTGTTATGATTAATAATTATTTATATTAATCACTTTCTGTTCAAGTTACTGTGTGTTTTCTGTCTCCTGATTGGACCCTGACTGATGCAGTACTATTCATCATAATGAGAAACATAGGAGGAAAAATAGGTATGGAAAAGATAAATTCCATTTCAGACATACTGAACTTGAAATGCTTGTGGGATGTCCAAACAGCACTGTCTGGTAGGAAGCTGAGTGTTTGAGGGGTTCAAAAGCTCAAGAGAAGTGACCAGGCTGGAGAGATACGCTTAGAATTGAGTAGTCGTAGAGCCACTAAAATCTTAGCAAATGAAGTGTGTATTTAAATGTCACAAGTCCGAGAGAGAGATTTTTTAAAATTTTTCGTAGGCTTATATGTCTCATCAAGAGATCCTAAACCAATTAATCTGTATGTATGTATACAGTAACACATTTCAACAAAAGATTTATGGTGATTTCATACTGTATATGTTCTATATCTGTTAACACTTTCAAAGTTAAATGAAGGTATAATTGAAAAGAGCCAAGCCCCATTTTGTTTGTTTGTTTTGTTTGTTTGTTTTGTTTTTTCTTTTTATTGAGATAGAGTCTCACTCTGTCACCCAGGCTGGAGTGCAATGGTGTGATCTCAGTTCACGGCAACCTCCGCCTCCCGAGTTCAAATGATTCTCCTGCCTCAGCCTCCTGAGTAGCTAGGATTACAGGCATGTGCCACCACTCCTGGCTAATTTTTGTATTTTTAATAGAGATGAAGTTTCAGCATGTTGACCAGGCTGGTCTCGAACTCCTGACCTCAGGTGATCTGCCCACCTCAGCCTCCCAAAGTGCTGGGATTACAAGCATGAGCCACATGCCTGGTCCAAGCCCCATATTAATAAGAGAATTCTAATTACCTTCCAAACTTGGAGACCCAACCTGGTGGAGGCAGGGAGCAATTAGCCATATGTGGATGCTGACTGTAATCAGGAAAACTGTAATGGATATGCCAACACCCCAAGTAGCAGCACTGAAAACTGGTGAGCTGCTAAATTTGCACTTTATTTGAAAATGACAACTAGATGAAAATATATTTTGAAAAAGACCCAGGCTGATGCCTTCTGCTTTTTCTGGGGTGTGAATTCAGTCAATAAAACTTGCCCCTTGATTCATCCATTTCTCAAAAGTTTGGATCTACTGACTACACACACACACACACACACACACACACAGAGAGAGAGAGAGAGAGAGAGAAATTCCATCAGCATTTTGCAAAAGAACAATTTGGAAGAGAAATGTATTAAATCCTCAGGGAAATTAAACCCAAATAATCCAATAATGGCATTACAAAATTAACACTAGACTATGAATTGAATTAATTGCCTCCTACTGTGGTGTTCTTGGCTACCACAGACCAAAACAAATGAAGCCAATGATGTCAAATGCCTTAAGAGAGACCACAGGCAAGTTTGTATCACAAGAGTTCACCCACTGTGGTTTTTCAGCTTTCTGGCTTGTTCTGGAGATCAATACGAAGAAAGATCTTCACTTCTGCCATCTCATGTCTCAAATTACATACGGTAGGTTGGTGAGAGATGTGAGAGGTGGCACAGTGCTAGACACAACAGAGCAATTTTACGACTCTTTGTGAATTACCTCTAACTGTCTGTGTCTAGAAGTAGCTGGACTGTTGGAAATCCATGCAAGTCTTTTTCTCCTGAAAGGGCTGAGGGACTGGTGGGAACAAGTAAAGGTGTCTCTAGAACCCAGGCAGTCTAGTGATAAGGCAGATATTTAAGAACAATCAGCTGCTCCAAAAGAGATTCACTTTGGCATTTCAGTAAATATGCATTTATTTCTGTAAATTCTCTTTTAATGCCATGATGTCAGCATGCCTTTGGCAATACGTGATTACCTAAATAATATGTGTCCTGGGACAAACAAAATTAGCATGTATATGACTTACCAGGCCCCTGCTCATCTTCCTAAGGACTTTGAGAAGGAAGGAAGGATGCAGCATCTTGATGGAAAGAAAATTTTGGTGATTTACACAGCTTTACAAAATAAGACCCCTAGAGCAAATACAGAGGGTCTGACTGCCTCCAGCTTCTCCTGAGACTCCAGTTTGTCAAAATGCCTCTCGAGTATTTGCTCGTATACACATCCTTCACGTTACAGCTGACACTGACCCCTGAAGCTTTTTAATTACCAAACAGCATTTTACCAAAAAACGGATTCGTGGTATTTTGTTGGGATATTATAATTTTTTCACATTCTTAATTTTGTTTGACATTTTGAAAATACTATGCCTGACTCTTTTGTGCAGATTAAAAAAAAAAAAAAAACCATCGCTAGCATGGATTAAATACTTCTATTTCCTTCCCTCAAGAATTGACACAAACACCAAAAACAAAATACTTTTTGTTTAAGCTTAGAGAAATGAAGCATTCTGTTTGTTTGGAATCTTAATTACTATCGCCCCAAATTTACCTAATTAGAAGCTCTTTTATAATGAGGAAAATTATTTTCAAAGTTAATGAATTTGCAAGCACAAACATTGCTGTCTTCCCAGAATGAATTATTCACATTCCTTACATGCATATTTTAGTTGTACACTCTAATTAATATTAGTACTTAAAATGTGTGAGATGGATTTCACTGTTAAAAAAAAAACTTGCCTTTGTTTTTAGACGATATAAAAACACCACAATTTTTTTCTCATCTCATAAACATTGGGCTGCACATAGAGACTAAATTTTAGATTTGGACAAAATGGAAATTATTTCATCAAAACTATTCATTTTATTGACTTTAGCCACTTCAAGCTTGTTAACATCAAACATTTCTTGTGCAGATGAATTAATGATGTCCAGTCTTCACAGCAAAGAAAATTATGACAAATATTCTGAGGTAAGTTTTTAAAATCTCTCTGAGTAGCATTAATTATATAATATTAATCCTAAGTCTAATGATTTTGTAAAGAGTAAGAAGTCAGTTGGTGTGTACTCTGTTTTATTGTCGAACTTCAGCCTTCCTCTGACAATGTATGCATGTAACTCGTATTATTTAGCACAACAGCGATCAGTCTGGCTTCTGTCATAACAATTGTACTGGTGAGTATGGTTCAAGCATACAGCACATTAATAATTTTCAATCAACTCACAAGTGCATATTTGTAGTGAATGGTTGGCAGAACTAAGATTTGGATACATTTCAGCTGGACATTTAAAGTGTTTTAAACTGAAAACAAACAAACAAAAAAACATTTATTTTGGGCTTAGCAATTACAAACTGGCCAATGTGTACTAAATCTATACCTTAATAAAGTGTCTACCCCTAGATAGTAAAATTGCAAATTGTTTCTATTTTCTTTTACATGTTTTGCAAATCTGCTGAAATTAGTGTGTATACTCATTTTACTTAAGCAATAATCAGAAAACAATCATTTAAAAATCTCCATATGGACAAGCTCCTATGGTAAAGACTAAATCTAATTAAATATTCTCTGTATCTGAGATGGTTCCTACAAAGTTGGCATATTTGTGATGCAGTAACCCATAAACCAATGGGTTCTTTACTAAAAATGTATTTTATATTCTAATAAAAATGCAATTGGTTTCTTGAGAAAGCTTTAGAGTGGAACCCTCAGTAAGATGGAATAAAAAAAAGAAATTCACTGGGCCTCCTACAACTATACCCCAAAAACTGGCCAGCATCTCTGTTTCGACGTACCATGTTTCCATGTGCCACTTTGGCCTTTAAAGAGAACCATGAAAGAGGAATGGGAATTTTCTCCAAAATCAAATTACAAAAATATATAAAATATTCCATAAACAACATGAATCAAAAAAAAAAACAAAAGACAATAACTGCAGTAAAATAAACTTTTGCCTCATTTCAGAACTTCATTATGTTCCTGCTGCTTGAACTCATTGTTGTATTCACTATATATATTTTATAAATATTTTATGGTTGTCTTACAATAGTCTAGGGACAGAGAAACTAGATTGCTTTAAAAAGCTTAATACAAATTATTTATTAAAAAATTCTGCACATAAGAACACAAACTTTGTTTATAGCTTTAACAATTCTGCAGATTAAAGTCTAGATTTCAGTTAATTGGGGGCTTAAATCTATTGCTTATAACAACAGTATGTTATTGTAATGGTCATTTCTAATTATAGCCTAGAGGATACCCAAAAAGGGAAAGAAGTCTCAATTTTGAGGAATTAAAAGATTGGGGACCAAAAAATGTCATTAAGATGAGTACACCTGCAGTCAACAAAATGCCACACTCAGTCGCCAACTTGCCATTGAGATTTGGGAGGAACGCTGAAGAAGAAAGAAGTGCTGGAGCAACAGCCAACCTGCCTCTGAGATCTGGAAGAAATATGGAGGTGAGCCTCGTGAGACGGGTTCTTAACCTGCCCCAAAGGTTTGGGAGAACGACAACAGCCAAAAGTGTCTGCAGGACACTGAGTGATTTGTGTCAAGGATCCTTGCATTCACCATGTGCCAATGACTTATTTTACTCCATGACCTGCCAGCACCAAGAAATCCAGAATCCCGATCAAAAACGATCAAGGTAAATACCTGAAAACCAGTCAAAGTGCATGGGCAGTTATATAGAGGTGGTCTAGAAACTTTAAAAATGACTACACCTTTTCAACATAAATTTCTAAGACAGTAAGTTTCCTGGAAGGAGAGAGAGGCAAAGACACAAGGAACTGAATACCTGTACATTGGGAACTATAGAAGGCCAGGTATAATAAGCATGGCTCAAAGTATAAAATCATAAGATGGCTTCCCCCAAGCCACATATGAGCATCAGTCTCATTATCCTGTAGCTGCTCACTAAGTCCATGCAATGACAGGATATTGTCTGGCGCTGGACCTCTCCCACATAAAAAGTCTCACGGGAGAGAGTTGTTCAGGTGTAAAGGACCCCATCTCAATAATCCAGGTCTCAAATGCAGCAGGTTTTCTTTCTTGACTTTTAATCAAAGTGTTTTCTTTTTTCTGGATCTCATCTTATAAACTCTGTTATAATCATTATTTATATTAATTAAGAAATACGTATTATCTCCTATGTGTATATCAGAATGTAAGATTTAAAAATTAACAAGCTACCTACCTATTATTTTATAGTAGTGTATGCTTAAAAAAATTTTTTTATGTGAAGTAGAACATGATGCTTTAGTTGAGACCTGAAGAAAGTACAGTGGCAGACTGTGTCACCTTATCTGAGAGACCTTCTCAGGACACTCCAGGTTTGTTCTTTTCCATGGTATTATCCCCATCTGACATATATTTAGGGTCCATGTCTTTTCCATTTCTTTTCCATGTGACTTATCCCCATCTGACATATATTTAGGGTGCATTGCCTTTATTAGAATTTCAGTTCTACAAATCCCATAATTTTTGTCCACTGCCATATCCCCAGAGCCTAAAAACTGTGTCTGCCACATAGTAGGCCCTCAATATTTGACAGGATAAATGAAATAAGAGAGGCACTAATAAGGTCCTGCAGAGTCAGAAAGGTCAGAAAAAAAGAGGATGTTTCTGTATGTGGAAACCTGCCTTTGAGAAGCAGCTTTCTCTTGAACATTCGGAGACTGGTGGGAAGGGGGGGTCATTTTTAGACACTAAAGCAAGGTGAGCCAAGAACAGCCGAGGCACCCTTTGGCAAGAGCAAAATGTATGCGAAGAGGACAGAAAGAAGGCTAGACAGAGTAAGAGCAGAGAGCGCAGATACTGAGGACCCGGACAAGGACCTGGGGCACCATTCATCAGGAGAGGGAGAACCGCTGACATTTCTGCTGAGGTTCTGGGGTGTCATACAGAGGCACAATTGACAGCTAATCAGATGTTGGGAGTGGAGCAGTATGGAGGGAGAGAGATGAATCAATGATAAGTGTTTGGGCCTGAGTGCCCATCACAGATTCAGCATCTCCCCAATATCTCACTCATGTCAAGTGCAACACAATTCAACTCAAGTATAATTAGGCAGTTAGGACTATGGCTTGTATTTGTATGCACTCTTGCATGCTGTTGTTCTGATGGGTGAGAACATTTTGTACTGCTTACATTTTAGGAGACTGGTATTCCAGAAAATGAATGATGCAGAATTGAAACAAGAAAAATAAGAAACCTGGAGCCTGTCCCTAAAGCTGTGGCCTGTAATCTACAAGTGGCTCTATAGCAAAGACCACAAGGAAGAGCAGCTACATACATTTCATCAACTATGGATCATCAACGGCACTTTTTCCTTGTCAGTACGACTATAATAGTATCTTGAAAGTTGTAAAAATTTAAAGCATATTTGTTATGTAAAGTTAAAATGATTTTTGTCTGAATAAAAAAGAGCATTGCAAATGCTTTAGAAATCTCTGGTAATTGAGAGAGAGAGAGACAGAAGACCCTCCTCACTACCCTATATAAAAATCATAGACACAGTTACACTTAATTAAAAAAAAATTAAACAGAAGAGCACCCTGAAAAACATTATGATGGAAATTAAATAATTTTCCAGAATAACATGGTTGACAAATAAGTGAACAAGGATTACAAATCACTTATAAACATGTTTCTGTACACCCTTTCTATTGTGTCAAATGTTAATGAATCTGTGATCAATTGAAATGTAAGTGTCATGTAATACTACAAAATAAAAACTCTTAGACTTTAGGGAGATAAAAGAAAAAGGAAACTATGAGTTACCTCTTTTAGTGTCTCCTCTGTCTACATCCAGAAATTTGCTTCTGGTGAGTTTCTTTTCTCCTCATTTAACATTTCAAGTTTTTGGTTTGCAAAAAGATCTGGCTACTCCTCAACTAAGAATTTATAAATTCAGTACACCACAACACAAATGCACAGTGACGTGCCTTTAATCCTGAGGATATGAAGTCCTTAATCAGATATAACTAGTTTATTGAACAGTCTCAACTCCACCGGGCGCACACAGGAAATTGTTTTATTTTTCTCCCATTGTGCCCCCCGCTGGGCTGTGTTGAATCTCCTGCCCCTGCTGATCAAAGTTCCCTTAATGATACCCTGGACATACTGCATAACTCCCTCAGTCACTTCCTGATATTAAAAAACTTTGTCAAGTCCAGTTGAAGACACCAACCTCATATCCAAAAATAAAATGTCCCCACCCACCCCCATGTCTGGCTGGGCTGGAGGAAAGGCCTAAAGGGAAAGGGGCAGGTCTGCTCTTTCTCCCTTCCTCCCCTTTCTCGCCTGAGAGGTAGGGTGCTGGGAGGGAACATGGTAGGCTCTGAAAAACAATCTCCCCTCCTATCTTCTCCAGGGCACAGGAGGAATGGGGATAGTGGGGATGGTCAAGAGAAGCGGTCTCCTCCTCTCTATATAAAGTTGCTGCTTCTACAAAAGCATTCTTCGGGAAGACTTGCAGGGGCCTTCACACAGGTCACCTACCTGGGGGCTCTGGATGCTACTTGATCTCTTCCAGCTACCCCCGTCTCATCTGTTCTCCCCATAGTTTCTATTGCCAGACAGAAAGGCTCAAGCCAGCCACCCTCCCAGTACCCGCTTGATGCATAGAGAATACAGACATCCCAGCCAGCCCAAGGGTGGACTGCAGGTTGCCACTCCACTGTCCCCCGTTGTCTCCACCCCTCTTGTCCCTGTTTAGGAGGGGGCAGGCCGGTTATAAGCCTACTGTCTAAGCAAGCAGCCAGTCAGAAGTAGCATGCAGTGCGCCTGTCAAAACCCCATATTCTAGAAGTGGTTTTCTAGGAACCACTCTTACTTGGCTTCTTGGGGGAGCAGCAACTGCAGCAGGCCCCCTCCAAGGCAGACTCTCATATCTGCACATGTTGGAAGGGCACGGCCAAGGCAGGGAGGGCTGCTGTGGCTCTGCCAGGTCTTAGCAAACCACGAGCAGGTGTCTGGCTCCCACCATCCATGGTTCTCTTTACTTAGCATCTCTTCTAAAGTATTTAGCCTCTCCGTACACCTCCAGTTGTGGTCCCCAGTTGCCAATTCTGAGTGACAGAGAGAGTATCCTGCAACATCCTGCTACACTAATAAATAAAAGACCACCTGGTCCCGTGAGAGTGTATGACACAGGGAAACTTCTTGTCATAGAAATGGGTTCTTTACCTAAGCCCCTAATCTACGGGAAATGTTAGCTGAATAACCAACTGTTGGCTGTCCCCTCATCTGCTTGGCTTATTCTGTTGTGCCACCACACCAGCTCCTTCACCAGCTTCCATAAGAACCCCACTCACGTAACTCAATGTGGAGCTTGTGATTTTGCAGAGGATTTGCGGGATTGCACGGTACAGCATTTCACTGGGCAAGTCTCCATCAGGCCTCTTCCGGGTCCCTCATTAACTGGACCACTGGCAAGTTCCCCTCCTCTCTGATCTCTGTTATTCACTCCAGAGTGGCTTCATGCGTGTGCAATCCCTGCAGTCACACAAAGCCCCACGCTTGGCTCAGTGTTCTGCTGTCACTGTCTTGAATTTCTTAAGTATTTCAAGGGGCCCCACATTTATATTTTGCACTGAACCCTGCATATCATGTAGCCTGTCTTGCTTCCCGCAGACTCAGCCCTGCTGGATCCCACAACACCCTTGTTTGTTAGTCAGAGCAGCTTCCATTTTCTACATCGAACCCAAAAGCCGGCTTCATGCAGACCTGCGAGGTCTGCTTCCATCCTACAGTGGGTACAAAATATAACTGTATGATTCATGAAGTGTGCTCAAAATGCAAATTTATTTTTGTGCCCCACTGCCGCTTTCTAATACAAGGGATGGGGAAGAGGGTGTGCAGAAATCTTCCTCTGACTCTCAGTGAAAACTTGGCCAGATGCCATGAACTTCACTTCTCTCTTAAGTAATGTCAAGCCTTTGGCCTCTCTGAGTCAAAAACACACAGTCTCAATGCCATTGTCATCAACCTTTCAGCCTGCATTCAGCTGCTCATACATTCATTCTGCACCCTTCCCTTGTTGAGGCCTAAGTCTGGAGACAGGACCGTGGTTGGCTTCTGTTCTCTCTTCCACCCTCATCTGCTCCTTCTCTCCCTGGCTGCCTTTGGGACTGCACTGGGAGTTAAGAGAATTTGGGATGAGAGGAAAGGGGATGAGGTAGTTCTCACCTGAATGGACTTACTCTCAGGACTCAGGGGATGGCGCTGCCAACCATTACTGGACCCTCTCCCTGCCATTCTGTCGTACTGTGAAACCTTCCAGGCCCCACCGTGGCCTCGGCCCTCAGCCCTGGGGCACGGGCATCCACTCCATACATGCTTATTTCTCTTCCGGGGTCCTCTTGAGTAGGACTTGAAACATCTCCAGGAACTCTCTGCCTGCCGCAGCCTGTGTCTGGTTGTGCGCAGCTGACCCTCCACACCTGGCTGTGATCCCAAATGGCTCCTCTGTCCTGCTGCTCCCAGGCTCTTCAGCCTTTTTGGCTTTTGTTTTTCTCAACCTCATAGAATATATTTCCTTATCCTGTGGAAGCCCCTCCCTGATGAAGGGTGAGGAAGCAGTAATTCCAGACCCCTGGGCATGGACACAGGTACCAGCTCACAGCGATGATGTAACAGCTCTCTCCAAAGGAATCTCTCCTGAACCCAAACACTATCCTTTTATTGTCTTAAGTCAGTGAAGGAAATGAGGACTGGTGGAACCAGTTTCCAACCACATCCTTTAGAAAGTCTGCAAATAGTGATCTGACTTCGGAATTGTATATCTATTAGTTTTGGGGGTTTGGGTTAAAACTTCACTTTTCACATCCTTTGCAACAAAGATGAATCTCTCCTTAAGCGGAGTGCTCACGGCTGCTAAAATGATGTTTTGTCTGAATCAGTAAGCGTATATACACATTTTTCTGGAGAGAGAGTTCATAATTCTTGTGGAGATTCTCAAAGGGGTTTGTAAACCCATAAAGTTTTTAAGAATCACTATAATAAAATATTATGTCTAGAATTATTTTAAGTTAATATCTAATCCAACTTACTGACGAATACTGTTATCTGATTGGCCATTTAGGTGTTGAGAACATAATGCCAGAACAATCAAAATCATTTCAGTAATTTAGATTGAACTTCCTCCAAATACTGGCATTGACAGTGGGATAAAATAGAAGTGAGGTGGTAATTGTGTTTTTCTCCTTAATGTGCTTTTCCAGGCACTTCCTTCCAAATATCCGTTCCACCCTTCTCTTCTCTTCCAACACTTCCCTTTCCCAAGGAAACTCCATCTGGACTGGTCCTAACCCAAGCTTCAGCTGGCCTGTGAAGGCAGCAGAGTGCGGGGCTTCAGAGGGACGCTGGGATGGGACACACCAACACACAGCAAGGGTTTTCATGGAAGGTGGTTCTCACGTGCTCTCAGGTCCGCATTTCATACATCACACTATGACAATGACCTTGAGAAATACAAAAAGGAAAAAAAAAAAAGTATTGACTCTGGGACAAATTTCTCAGTGAGAAAAATGAAAGGTCAGTGTTCACCTGACTGTGACCAACAAAATGAAATGGACAAGGAAGGTGAGTGTGTTGCCCTCTGTGTGTTTATTCCTTTTTTCCCCTTGAAGAGCTTCTTGGGAACATTATGTGAGGCTCTGTGACCCAAGTTTTCTTATTACATAATTAACACACCAATCCACAAGTTATTTCCTGAAAACATGCACTTTCACATTTCCGTGCCTTCGTTCCTGCTAGTTCCTTCTGCTCAAAGGCCTTTTTTCTACCAATCAAAATCCTTTGAGACACAGGTCAAATTTGGATATAACTGCATATAATAAAAACCTAAATAATACTGTTTTAACCAAGAGAAACGTTTTTTTCTCCTCACCCAAAATGGTCGGGAAGGAAGCAGTTCTGGGCTGGCATGGGAATTGCACACCCTCATCCAGGATCCAGACCCTCCCATCCTGCTGCTGCACCGGCCCAAGTACATGGCTCCACCAGGCCGGCACGTCCCTTTCCAGGCAGTAGAAACAAACGAGCCAGGTAAAGGGGTGCTCTTTCCTTAAAAAAAAAAAAAAACCTGTTTAAAGAGCACCATTCAGTGGGGTGGAGAGCAAGGGGAAGGAGAGCATGAGGACAAATAGCTAACACACGCGGGGCTTAAAACCTAGATGACGGGTTGATGGGTGCAGCAAACCACCAAGGCATATATATACCTATGTAACAAACCTGCACGTTCTGCACAGGTATCCCAGCACTTACAATAAAATAAAATAAATAAAGTGCATCATCTGACTACTTCCTCTTTCATGTAATTGATCACCCCACTCTGCAGGTGAGACTGGGAAATGTCGTTTCTCCATTAGGCACATTGTCTCAACCACCATTATATGAAAAAAGAGCATGAATATCAAGTGGACAACTTAATGGGTCCCCCCCCATACGCGCTCACTGCTTTGTTATAGAAAATATGAAACATATATTAATGGTTTTTCTTCACTAAACCAGGGTTAACAGTGGTTCTATGGACACCTGGGACTGTGTCATTCTTTGTTGTGGGGACTTCCTGGTGTATCGTAGGATGCTTAGCAGCATCAGAAGCCTCTAACCACCAGAGGCAAGTAGGATCGTTCACCTATTGTGACAACCGAAAATATCTCCGGACATTGCTAAATGCTCCTGAGGGTGGAGTGGGGGGTCATCCCTAATTAGAAACCACTGCAGTAGACTGCTGTAATCATCTTTGACTCCCCTCCTCCCAGCTTCATAATAATAGTGATTATTAATTGTTATGATAACTATATATTGTAGCATTTAAGGCTATTTTAACCACTTCCGTTAATACTCATTTTTATGCATGAGAACTGAGCTCAGAAAGAACTTTCCCAAGAAATGGGAGCTAACAAGTGGGTTCAACCAAGGTCTGATTTTTAGGTGTTTCTCTTTTGAACCATCACCCACTGCCCTGTTCACTACCACACAACCACCTGCCATCCAAACCTGCAGCATACTAAGCATTCAGGAAACATGCATTGAATTATGTTTAAATAAGAAAAAAGCAGATACACTGAAGCCCAGGAGTAAATCCCTGGCATTTTAAAACACTATATAAAGATTTTAGAAGGAAGGGAGGCAGGCAGGAGCAGCGGGGGAGAAAGGAAGAGAGGAGGCAAGGTACGAAGAGGGAGAAGAAGGAAGAGAGGGGAAGGGAGGAAGAATGGGAAGAAAGAAAGACCACAGATTCCTGAAGAGCTTTAATTTAGTTGTTCTTTAAGGTATCTACTTCTACAGCAGGCAAGGAGATGCCTACCTTACCAGTCATGAGTGATTGTAAAAGGTAAAAGCATCACAGAATACAAGCCTGACCACTTTTATCTTGGACTCTCAAGGAGCAAGTCATGTTTCTTGATTTTTATTCTTTAGCAAACAAGGTGCTATCGTTGATGATAAAATGTGACTGTCAGTTTCTGCTTCAGTAGTAAAACTGAAAGTGGTCCAAGCCAGGCACGGTGGCTCACGCCTGTAGTCCCAGCACTTTGGGAGGCTGTTGGGTAGATCACTTGAAACCAGGAGTTCGAGACCAGCCTGGGCAACATAGTGAGATTCCATCTCTATTTTTTTTTTAATTTTGTAATAAAAGGAAATTGTAGCAGTCCAGAGAGCCCCTGAAATATGCAGTCATGGCAAATAGAGTGAAGGCAAAGGCAGTCAGTAGGTAAACTTCTGCCTGGATGGGTCTTGCCTCCCTGGGTTATTTGCGGTCTGCTACAGATCTCACTTATGAATTAGGACAAAGCAGTAAAGGAATTAAAATCAATCAGAAGTAAGTTTGCTCCTGCGCACTGGCATGAATTGTAGCAGCCGTTCCCTCCCTCTCACTCAGATGGGCGTGCGCAGCTGAATGCTCTGTGGAAAACAGAATCGCTTGCTTCTTGGAGTGAGGCCTGTATTCGGAAAATAGTATGTGGTGAGCATTTGTCCCTCTTTATTATATCCAGTGTTTACTTGGATTTCTTATTAAGTGGCCCAGAGTTCCTGAAATGTTTATTAGATGTTGCACATTTTATTCACCATTGCTAGAAATACTAAAAATCAGAAAGATTTCATTTGCCCTTTTCAAATTTTTTAAATTGTAGTAAAATATATATAACATAAAGTTGACCATTGTAACCATATTGATGCATAAAATTCAGTGGCATTAAGTACATTTCACTTGCCTTTTTACATAGTCTGATGCTATTCACTAATTATGCTCACACTATTAATACCTACAAAATCACACCCAAAGCTTAAGTGCTACTTTAGCTACCACACACACACAAAAAAATAAAATCCTATGAGAAAAATAAGGATTTATAAATGACAGACTCTTGTTTAATAATGTCACATTTTTCACCAGAACTTTAAATTTTTCCTACAGCCCCGTTAAGCCTGTCTTAAAAGGGGGTAGTAGTTGCTAATCTTTTTCTCTCCTGAACTCTTTTATCATCTCACCAGTTTATAATGTATTAGATTCACCTGAGACCAGAGCGACTGCTTCTTTGGAAATGCCTGAGACAGCAAAGGTTACTGTTAGCAGTCAGAGATGGACAGACATTAATTTCAGCGCAGTAATGAAAATGAAGAGTTGATTAGTTTAATTTTCCTAAGAAATGAAGAATGGTCAACAATCACTCATCTGCTATTTTATAGCACTTTTCTTTGACCTTCTGGGCTCCTTCACATTCTTCCTAATAGCCTATTTGTACTTTGCTTCTCATCTGCTTCCCTGATCTTTTTACATTGCAGTCAATAAAATTTAGAAGCTTTGCACTTAATATCTTAGAATATATAATAATAATAATTAGTCAAATAGATGCCCAAGGATAACTAATAAAAATAATTGCTCATAAAACATGCCACAGCGTTTTCCTTTCATAATATAACATGAATGTGATACATATAATCCTATGGGTAGCTTAGGAAATAGAAAGTATTATCACCCATTATTCTCTTCCTAAATATAGGAACTAAAGTATGAAAGAAGCCAAACAGGAAAATCACGATTAGAATCAGGAGTGGAATTAAATTATAACTAGATTAATGTCAAATTAATACTCTCTTTGTAGAAGTAGAGAAATATTATTTTAATCCTGAAGAAAAATTATCTTAAAATTTATTTCCCTTCTTGCCAGATTTCTAAGCATTGGTATATTGTGGTTAATAAAACATAAAACTATTGTTTCTCTTTCTTAAAATATGCAACAACAATAATTAGCTACAGCAATGCACCAACATAATTTGCAAACTGCTTTTAAAATATCACCTAGCTTCCTCCTTTGTAATTGAAAGCACTAAGATGTAACCAATATTGCAAAATTACTTTTAACCACTAGAGGGCAGAAAATACTCCACATTTGTGCATAATTAATTTTAAATTCTTAGACCAAAACAACAATAAACACCACCAGCACAACAAAAAGACCTTCTTGTTTTATACTGTACACTTAAGGCTCAGTTAATAACCTTAAAACTTTTTAAATTTTAAACTAAAATATAATTCCAACAGTTTAAAGAAGGCAAAAGTAAACATGTTTGTTGCATCTTAA